AAGAGCGGTCGGTGAGTAGCGAATCTCGTGGGGGCCGAATGGACCAAAGAAGGCTGTCGTTGGGTGACCAGCGGATTGCTCCTAGGCTTTTCTTCCCTCGGTGGGTTGCCTTGTCCATCTGTCGACATTTGAAGGGCCTTGGCTTAGTTTAGCTAGTTGGGGCACACCACCCGGATGATTAGCAGACTGCTCATCGGAGAAGGCCAGTTGCTCGAATGAATTGCTCGCCGCACGGCGAGGTGAAGGGTGGGGTAAGTGCGTGGTCTTTGGCTCCGAACATGCTCTATGACATGGCGCACAGGAAATGTTTGGCAGGAAAACACAATACCTGGTAGAACACGTGTATGGTGGGTGAGGGCGGAACCCTATGATTCACACACATGTCCACAACATGTGGCCTTGGGAGTAGTATAGAAGGCGGGGGTGGCGTTTGTTTCAGACTTTCCAGGCATCATCATCAACTCTTTTTTTTTTTTTTTTTTTTTTTTTTTGACTCCTCCCTCAGTCAACAGCATAGTACATTAGTTGTCTCATGCTGTTGCTAGTTAGTAGTAGTAGTATTCCATCCGACCCCAATGGTTAGGCTCTTTTGTCTATTCAATAAATTTGTAGCCTGTTTATATTATTTTAAAGGTGTTGGCGCTATAAATTCAATACATCTTTCATATCCGTCACCCATTATCAACCTAATTTTATAGTGGGCACGATCCATTAAAAACTATTGGTCATAATCCTTAATCTCATGCATGCAAAAAACTTCAATAATTCCTTAAAATCCTTATCCACAATAGCTTTTTGCCATTATTTACTTTATGGATCTCTCAAACATATAAAGTGCTCACATTTTTTGAAGTACCCATTTTAGATTCCACTATGGAAAGACTTTTTTTTTTTTTTTTTTTTGGCTGAAAATATTTAATGGATGGAGCTTGATTCTTGTACTAAAAGGTTATGAGTTTAATTTTATCAATATTTTTAGTTAAAATTCTGTTGCTAATGGTCTTCTTAATATTATATACATCTTTTATATGATTTGTGAATTATTACGCATGAGTTAAGTTTACTTAATGTGCACTTTTGAACAGTTAAAAGAATAAACTTTTTGGATGCACGCGTAGTTAATCAAGAAATTTTATGGTCCTCAAATCTCCATTTTCCTACGTTCACTTTCTACTAAGAAAAATTCTTGTGGCACATAAAATCACACTTGTTAACGTCACTTTAAAATATTTTATATTTATTTGTTGTTTTCAACCGTTATGCTGTGGAACCGTGTTCACCTTGCAAGGTGGACACGATTTTATGTTTATAATTACTGAACTATATATTCATAATTATAAAATTATATATTCATAATTTTTGTACTTTATATTTATAATTATTTACCTCTATATTCACAATTATAGAACTCTATGCTCATAATTACTGAACTATATGTTCATAATTATAAAGTTATATATTCATAATTTTTTAACTTCATATTCACAATTATTAAAATCTCTATATTAATAATTACAGAACTATATGTTCATAATTATGCTCATAACTCTATGTTCATAATTGTAAACAATTTTGGAACCGTGTCCACCTTGGACCGTCATGTGATGGATTGGGCCTCAAGACAATTCAACAATGGGCTTACTCAAACCCAATATAAAATCCATTTAAAGTTGATTTTTGATTTTTTTGAAACCTCTCGGTGTTTGATTAGTTTTCGCCTTTTCGGGGTAGAAAATGGGAATAACAAAATGGGTTAACAATTAATTTAAACTGTATCAAAATTATTATCCACGATTCCCGGGACACTACGCCGGAAATAACTACTCCGGCGATTGTTTCGAGCTTTTAAGCAATGGCCGCCGCACTACGCTCTCTCTTGTTCGTCTTCTTCCTCATTCTCAGCAAGCCATTGCCTTCTTCTTCGATTCCTCTCTCCTTTTCTCAGTACCAAACCCTCGTCTCCCTCTCTCACTCACTCCTCCACCGCGTCGCCAATCTCCGTGCCGATCGCGGCGATGACCTCGGCGCGGCCCGGGCGCGATCCATCGCCCGAAGCATCGAGCAAGGGCTTGGCCTGGGGTTCTGGAAGCTTATGTGGACGCTCGGATGGGACTACGCCCGGAACTACGCTTGGAGAGATACGACGTCGTTCGAGATGCTTGGCGCCGTCTCGGACCTGAACGAGCTGCTTAGAACTTTGGGAGAGTTGACTCGGGCTGGGTCGGATCGGGAGCGGGTGGCGTGGGTGACTCAGAATTACGGAAATGTCCTTCGGATTGCCAAGGCTCTCTCCGGTAGACTGCTCAAGGTGTTTCGTCAATCTGTAAGTTCTACTTCCTACTATTATTGTCTTTGAATCCGTTTTCAGACTTTTCTTTACTTAGAAAGAAAGAAATCACTCCGAACAATCACTCATATTTGTGTGAGCTGCCTGATTTACTAATCAATAAGTTTTTAATAATGCAAAAGAAAGAATTTTATTCAATGCTGATTTCAGTGATTTGCTTGATTAAATTCATTTTATTGAGTTGGGCTTATACTTCAACAATGGGCCTAGTTTACCCACTTTGAAATGGGCATGAAGTTGCTGGTTAAGATTGGTCATTTTATGCCCCAATCGGGGCAAATTATGCTGTTCATCCGTATGCACCATATATGGTGCAATGGTGCATACGGATGCAAAAACGACGTCGTTTTATTAAAAACGCGCGTCTCCCCTTAAAAAAAATTTAGGTTCGATTCTCAGTAACAACATATGAATTAAAATTCCAGAATGAATGAACTAAAATTTTAGAATATATGAACTACAATTCCAGAATCGATGAACTACAATTCCAGAATCAATGAACTAAAATTCCATAATTTTTATGAACTAAAATTTCAAAATGAATGAACAACATAATGCTGTTGCTGGGAATCGAACCTGAATTTTTTTAAAGGGGAGACGCGCGTTTTTAATTAAACGATGTCGTTTTTGCATCCGTGCATGGTGCATACGGATGCACAACATAACTATCCCCAATCGTTATGCTCGTTAAGGTGAACACGGTTCTATGTTTATAATTACTGAACTATATGTTCATAATTATAAAGTTATATATTCATAATTATTGAACTCTATATTACAATTATAGAACTCTATGTTCATAATTACTGAACTATAATTCTAAAGCTATATATTCATAATGAACAAATTGCACTTTTGGTCCTGTGACTATTAGGGTACTGATAATTTGAGTACGTGACTTCCAAAACTCTCAATTTAAACCTTTAACTATGTAATTATTAGCAGATTTGGTCCTGCCGGTCAATTTTGGCCGGAAAAATTAAAACTATTTTTAATTATTTAATTATGAGGGCAATTTGGTCATTTTAGAGTCTTCTTCTTCACTGAGTCTTCTGCTTGATCTTCTTCGAGTCTCCGTCCTGCATGTACGACTTCGTCTCGAATGGAAACTTGTTGAGATATGAACAACTTCAGGTAAACCAATACGACTTCGTCTCGAATGGAAGCTGACGGTGAGAGAACCGCCGACCAAAGCTATGGACTCTACTTCATTGACGACAAGGGAGAGGCGGACGATTTTCTGCGGCGGAGATCTCAACGTGATCAGAGGAAAAGCAAGCACGTCGGGCTTCTCTGCCTAGTCGGAATGCCAGTCGCCGTCGGGCTCAGCTTCTTCACTTGGTCGGAACGATGAACACGTGGTTCTTACTGGATATCGCTTTCTACAGCCAAAATCTCACCCAAAAAGATATCTTTCCGGTGATGCACCTAACGGACCCGCCGAAAGATGTCGGCGCTTTGAAGGAAATGTTCCAGGTTTCACGCGCCATGTTCGTGATCGCCCTGTTCGGGACTTTCCCCGGCTACTGATTCACCGTCTTCTTCATCGAAAAAATCGAGAGATTTAACATCCAGGTCGTCGGATTCTTCATGATGTCGTTATTCATGGCGATCATCGGAGTCAAGTACGGTTACCTCAAGGATTCGGAGAATCGATGGACGTTCGTGACGCTTTACGGGCTGACGTTTTTCTTCGCCAATTTCGGTCCGAACAGCACGACGTTTGTTTTCCCGGCGGAGCTTTTTCCGACGAGGGTGAGGTCCACGTGCCACACCCTCAGCTCCGCCGGGGGGAAGGCGGGGGCGATGGTGAGCGCGTTCGGAGTGCAGTACTACACGCAGGACGGAGACTCGAAGAAGATCAAGAAGAAAACTCAGTGAAGAAGATTCTAAAATGATCAAATTGTCCTCATAATTAAATAATTAAAAATAGTCAATGCTCGATATTATTTAATTGGTTGATTAATTTTTATTTTTATTTTTTGATAATTTGTTACTTTTCTTTGTGTTGCATGAATGCATGGTCGCACTAGCATGTATCTTCAATTGAGTAAACACTCCATGGTAGCCCCATTTCTATTTCCAAAAAAATCTAACCTAGCACTTTTTTTTTTTTTTTTTTTTTTTTTTTGAGAACAATAACCTAACACTTGATATTACCATTTTGTTCCCCATGGGCCATGGCCTATACTAGTATAGAGTTTCAATTAAGAAACACTCAAAATTTCTTCCCATAAAACTCGTTGAAGCTCCATGGGAGGAAATTAAGTGTATACCTTGATTATACTAGGGATGTCAATTTCAATTTGTCCTCTGGATATCCACCAAAATCTATCTTCATAGATCAAAGTTTTTTTTTTTTTGGTGATAGTGTATTAATGTTGGGTCTTAAAAATTTAAACCTACGGTGGCTAGATTGATTTTAAATTCTATGTACAAAATTCGCCTAGAACCCCACCCAACTCATCATATATTAAATGTGTGCAAACCTCACACATTTAATTCACGTTTGGATGCACACGATTTATTCTCACGTTTTCACCTAAGCAAGTGCTCTCATATGATCCTATATATATATAATTTTTGAGGATGGATACTTATGGGATGAAATGATCATCCAAGGTAGAATTCGGTGTTTGGAAATAGAAATGGAGCTCAACAGTTCATTCCTTAATCACAAAGTTATCCCCGATACCAAAGCTAATGAGGGAGTAATACCAAAGGCTTCCATCATCTCCGAGACACTCTACCGGAAAAAGCTGCTCCGGTAAATTGTCCTCAACTCCTCAACTTCCCTCCAAGCAATGGCGGCCTCCTCGCTGCGCTCTTTCATCTTCGTCTTCTTCCTCATTCTCATCAAACCAACGCCTTCTTCCTCTTCGATTCCCTTACCATTTTCTAACTACCAAATCGTCCTCTCCCTCTCTCACTCACTCCTCGCCCGCATTGCCAACCACCGCGCCGCGCGCGGCGATGCCGTCGGCGCCGCCCGGGCGCGGTCCATAGCCGGAGTCATCGACAGAGGGCTTGCCATGGGGTTGTGGAAGTTTACGTGGACTCTGGGGCGGGACTATGCCCGGAAATTCTCGTTGAGAGATACGATGTCGTTTGAGATGGTCGGCGCCGTCTCGGACTTGAACGAGCTGGTCGGAGCTTTGGGAGAGTTGACGCAGGTTAGATCGGATGCGGAGAGGGCGGCGTGGGTGAATCGGAATTCCGGAAACGTCATTAGAATTGCTAAATCTCTCTCCGGTAGATTGCTTAAGACAATCCGTCGATCAGTAAGTTCTTCTCCCTATTATCATACGTTTTGTTATTTGGAAAGCTATTCTCCCAGGAATGACTATTCTTCAATAATAATTATTCCTGGGGTGTGATTGAGTGGAAATGACTTATCCATCATTAACGAAAGATCAAAGGTTCGATTCTTAACTTTGGGTATGGAAAAGTCTTAAATTTATCCCACTCAAATCCAACAGGGGTTGTGAAAATATTGTTTTTTTAAAGAAACCTGCCAAAATGACCACAAGAAGGTAAACTAGTCTAGGTTTTTCATAGCTGATCGAGTCAACCCAAGAAGGCCTATTGATAACTCCTGTTGGGAGTCGATCTTGTAACCTTATGGTTACTAAATCAATAGTTTGACCAACTTGATTAAGGTTACTGAAACCGATTTCAATCTCAAAGCCTAGTATCATGTTACAAGTCACTATTGAGCATGTTCTTATTTACGCTGCAATTTTGTATGTAAAAGGTTTGAGGATAAGTGTAGTATGAAATGGGGTTAATGGTGTGTATTTGTAATGGAAAACTGCAGGGTCCTTTGAGGGATGTAATGGAGACGGTCCAAAAGGAAATAGTGGAGGGGGACTTATTGAAGGACTGCCTGGAGGTGGGTGGCAACGATTTCAAGGGTTTGATCCAAATTTTGAAGGATCTTGCTTTGCAATATACCACCTCCACTCGAACTGATTTATGATCACGTCTGTAAACTATGTTATTACTGTACCAAATTTAATGTTTCATTACTTTCCAGTTCACCCCTTCAAATGTATTGTAAAAGTGAACTCCTTTCGGCTCATAAAATTTGACCTTTTTTTTTTGTTTTTTTTTTTTTTTTTGTTTGTTTTTTTTTTTTTTTTTGGTTCAATGAAATGAGAACAAGAATGATTAATATTTGCTCTAAAAGAGGTAATCGAGTGAATTGAACATGGTTCTTGTACCTTTATCTTTTAGTGAGATTTATCAATATCAGTATATATTCTCGAAAGTGATTGTGGGAGAGAAATTTAAAAATTTATAGAATATTATACAGGAATATGGTTTATTGTGCTTTTAAGTATTTGCTGTGAATTTTTATGGTCGCTAAAAAGAATGAATAATATTTTCCATGGTGATAGCATATATTAAGTGGGTCATTTCTAAATATGACACAATAAATTAAACCAATAGGAAGAATCCGATTGAGAACCAATAATGAAGGGCATGTAACGACTAACAAGATTGAGTAATACTCTTTAAAAGTGATTATTTTAAAATTGTCTTACAAAATATAACACATATACAAATAGGAACTTAGGAAGCATGAGAGCCAGAAATCAAGAATGCATACTTCACACGCAAATCAAATTGTTATGTAATTATGACGGACAACATTTTTACGTTGAAAATCACTTTTCAGTGTTGAAGCAGAGTTCAAATTGTCAGTAAATTTAAAATAAGTTCATAAACATTTAGAGTCATTTAAGTCAATTGGTACACATCTTGACCCTGTTTAGTAAAATGGCTGTTAGCTGATTATGTTAATTTAAGGGTATAAATAGTTGATAACATTAGCTGATTATAAAAAAGTGTTTGGTAAATTAGCTGTTAGCTGATAGCTGTTTGGTATAATTTATTTTTTCAAAAAGCTAATTGAAAAAGTTGTTTGGAGTAGCTTTTTGTATTTTAGCCTTTTGGAGTTGCAAAAAGCTAATTAACCAAACATTTATATTGATATTTTAACTAAATCAAACAATTAATAGTGGTCAAATAAGCCAAAATTGGCCTATAGGCCAATTTTTTACCAAACAGGGCCCTTGTAATTTACATTCTCCACCGTACCCTCCCCAGGATAGGTGTGGTTAAGAATTCTTAGGATCTGTTTACTTCAAGAAACTGTTCTATGTTTTTTGTTTTTTAATTTTTTTAGTTTTTATTCTTTGTTTTCTATTCTCTTTATTCTGTTTAGAAAACTGGATTTTTATCACCCATTTTTTAAATTTAATTTTTAAGACTAACATTATAAAATTACAACAATTTTAATTTCGAGTGATTTTTAGACTTTATATTTAAAATATTTTTGAATATATTTGGTTTAAATAAATAAATATAATTTTTAACCTAACGCCAAAAATATAAATACGTAATTGAATAAATTTGGTAGAGTCCTAGCCACCCACAAAAAAAAAAAAAAAAAAAAAAAAAATCCTACCTCCCCTATGTGATATTTACTTGAAAAATGTTTCCAGTTTTCAAAATGAAAAACTATGCTAATAAAACATATTTTTCTATTTTCAATTTTCTAATTCTCCTTTTACAAAAAATTAGAGAAATTCTCGAGTTAATAACGGAGTCCTTAAATTTTAGAGTTGCTATTAACCACATTAATAATTTTAATTTAGGAAAAATGTAATAACTTCACTCAGCAAAACAATGAAAAACGTTAATCAATCATTCTTCCCAAAAAGTTAATCCTCAACCCCAAAGCTCTCGAACTTTAATCAATCGTTGCGCCACATGATGCTGTAATGCATTATTGTAAATTTTTGTTGTACAAAAGTCATTTCTCATCATCCTTCCACTTACTACATTTGTTATATTAAGCGTGTTGGCCACATTAATAACTTTCACTCACCAAAACTTTAATCATTGCTCCACATGATGCTGTAACGCATTATTGCAATTTTTAAAAAAAAAATATAAATGAAAAACCCATAACAAGGATTGCTGTTACGTAGTATTCTACATTTATACAATGAAAATGAGAAATGTAATAAAACTCTCGTTATATATCATAATGTTATTTAAAAAATTAAAATAATAAAATGGTAAATAACTACTTGTTCTTTTTCCATTTATACAACTAAATACAAATTTATTTTCTATTTATGAAATTTTCAAGTCCAACAACTACATAAAGTTCACCACCAAAACTATTGAAAAAACTGAACAAAAATATTTATGAGATAAATTTAAGATATTTTGTTTAAACAAATATTCACAAAAAAAATAAAAATAAAAATTAATGCTTACCAGCCTAGGGTTGATTGTCGGTGAGTATTGTACGTACTACAATATGTATTAATTTCTGCACTACCAATTTCTTCTCCGAACTGCCTTCGTGTTGACATCCTATGCAGCCCTCATAAATTCAATTCATATTGCTTCTTGCTTTGATCAAGTCTAAGCATTTATTGACCTCAAGATTGTTTTGTCAAAAAAAAAAAAAAAATCTCAAAAGAATGATCCTCGTACCTAAAAAATTATAAGTTCGATTCTTGTCAGAATTGAACTGTTTTGATTAAAACCATTGCACATGACCTTTCTAGTGCGATTTACATATCTTATGTGATTTGTTTGCTATCAGCATATTACACAGAAGCAGAATTTACATAAATAGAGCAGACCCTCAGGTTATGGTTACAAGTTTTCCTTGACATAATAATAATAATAATAATAATAATAATAATAATAATAATAATAATAATAATAATTATTATTATTATTATTATTATTATTATTATTATAAATGTATAATATATACCCTTGAAGAATTTATTAATTTTAAATTGCTTTGAGCCACATTGAGGGCGGTAGAGTCAAGACATCTTGCTCAATGAGGCTCGCAAAGCCGTACTTGAGCATGCTACTAATTAGCAATAACATGTTTTTATTACTGATATGGGAAAGAAAACATAATACTTTTGAAGGAAAATGTAATACTTTTTACATTTTGAAGTAAAAGTATTACTTTTTTCATCAAAATATTATATACTTGCATTAGACTCATCTCAACCGTATGACAATCCAATACAGTAATGCAACATAGTTGGAGCACTTCAATATCTCACCATTACTTGTCCAGATCTTTCCTTTCAATCCTTTGTTGTCAACAAACTTTGTCAATTTATGCAGTTTCCATCCAATGATCACTGGATTGGCCTAAAACGTGTTTTAAAGTATGCCAAAGTCACTCTATACTATGAACTTCGCTTTATGAAATCAATTTCAGAGATATTCATGCATTCTCGGATTCGGATTTGACGGGCTGTCCTGATGACTGCAAATTCACTAGTGGATTTGCTGTCTTTTTTTGGTAAGAATCTAATTTCATGGCCCTGCCGCAAACAAAAGACAGTTTCTAGATCCTCAACAAAAGCAGAATACAAAGTTATTATTGCTGATGTCTCATCCGAAGTTACATGATTAGTTGCTTTAATTAAAGAGTTTGATCTTACTATGCAAAAACCACCAAAACTTTGGTGTGACAATCTTTTTGCCACCTATTTGTGTGCAAATCCTGTGTTTCATATAGGAACCAAACATGTTGAAATTGACTACCATTTTGTTTGTGACAAAGTGGCACCAAAAGAAATACTAGTGAATTTCATCTCTACAAAAGATCATCTAGCAGACATCTCCACTAAGCCACTAACCACAGCAAGATTCAATGATCTAAGGGACAAGCTCAATGTTTTCTCTAAAGAACCTCAAACTTGAGGAGTGTATTATTATGACTTTGTATCCTAAGCACTCCCTATAAATAGTCTTTTCATGTATACATTTTTTTTTTTTTTGAGAGTGCTCCTTTCATATATACTATATAATCAAGAACTATTCAATAACAATATATTCTTCTAAAATTATTATTCTAGTAAGGGAAGATGATTTGTATTAAGAGTTAATGGGATTATTTGTTATTATTGGAATTATCTGTCATTTATCATTAATCAATTAATAAATAATTATTATATTCAATGTAATAGAGCATAGGCGTTCTTGCGAAGATGTCAATGAAGCGTGTATTTGCGGCTGCACTGCTTATTCTTGAGAAAATATAATTTTAAATGACTATAAAATAGGCATCTCTCAAGATGGTCGGTTGTACGTATAGGCATTGAGACCGACTTACACTTTTGGAGCATCTCCCACCTCTTGTTTCCAAAAAAAAAAAAAAAAAAAAAAAAAAAAAAAAAAGATCTCCCACCTCTTGTTTCCAAAAAAAAAAAAAAAAAGAAAAAAAAAGAAAAAGATCCTAAGCATTTATTTATTAGTGTGTCGAACATTATTTTTGGGAAAATGACACTTTTTCTCCCTAAATTATATATTTATAGTACTTTTTCCCCCTGAATTATTCAAGTGGCTATTTTCCCCCCTGAAATATTAAATGGACATATTTACCCTTAAAATAAATATTTCATTTATTTTTCTTCTCCAACAAATTATGACCACAATTTGGTTCAAACCAAACAGACACTATAGCAACCAAACTAAAATATTCTAATTACAATTTAGAATCGAGACCCGATATTTAGAGTTTATTAAAATCGCGAACCGGGACGGCCGCTTCATGTTCTAAACTGAAAAAAAAAAATAAAATACATTTATTGCTGAATTTATACTATTTTAATTAAAAATAAAATTTTAAAAAAAATACGGTTCAAAATCGCGAACCGAATTCGGAACCGTGGTTCACGGTTCAGGATCCAGTTTATTCAATTCATAATTTTAATAAACTGAAATTCAAATATTGGGTTCTAGATTTGAATCATAACCGGAAACTTTTAATTCGATTGCTATAGCATCCGGTTCAATTCGAATCGAACCGTGGTCATCCCTACGTATACGCAATAATTTGTTGGAGAAGAAAAATAAATAAAATGTTTGTTTTAAGGGTAAAAATGTCAATTTAATATATCAGGGGGAAAATCTGTCCTTTTTAAAATAATTGAGGGGGTTAATGTGCTTACATAAATAATTTAGGGGAAAAAAGTGCTATAAGTATGGAAAAAGTGTCATTTTCCCTTTTTTTTTTGAATGTTATTGGCCCTATTACATTGTAATATATG